TACAATGTGATCCACAAAACCCATCCCTAGGGATTTACCAAAAGAAATAAAAACGTAAGTTCACCAAAAACAGGTATAAACATTCGTAACAGTCTCACACTGGAAAAACCCCAGATATCCTTCAATAGGAGAGCTCATAAACACTGTCATATATCCACACAAGGGAATACTACTGAGGAGTGAAAGAAGGCTGAGTGCCCAAGAATTGATGCTTCTGAACTGTGGTGTTGGAGAAGACTCCTGAGAATCCCTTGGACTGAAAGGAGGTCCAAGCAGTCCATCCTAAACCAAATCAGTCCTGAATATTCATCGGAAGGACTGATGCTGAAGCTGAAACTCCAATACTCTGGCCACCTGATGCAAAGAACTAACTCACTGGAAAAGACCCTAAGCTGGGAAAGATTGAAGGCGGGAGGAGAAGGGGACGACAGAGGATGAGATGGTTGGATGGCATCACCGACTCAGTGGACATGAGTTTGAGTAAGCTCCGGGAGTTGGTGATGGACGGGGAGGCCTGGCGTGCTGCAGCCATGGAGTCACAAAAAGTCAGATACAACTAAGTGACTGACTGAACTGAGGAGGGGGTGAACGGTGGATACAGACAACAACAAGGATGGGTTTCAGAGGCATTATGCTGAGTGAAAGATGTGCTACATGAAGGAAAATATCCTGTGTTGACACGGAATTCTAGAGGAGGGAAAAACTTATCTGTGATGAAGAAAGTAAGGAGTGCTCCCCTCAGGAAAGCAGGCAGGACTGAGCGGGAAGAGGCCAGTGGGAACGTGCTGGGGTGAAGGTGATGCTCCGTATCTTGATGGTGTGGGATTGGTACTTGGGTTACACAGATGTAAACACATGCCAACATTCAGAGAATGTACACTTGGAGTTCGTGCATTTCATTTTATGTCATTCTTACATCATAAGAATATAAATGACTATTAAGTTCTGATTCATAGTATGCATGCTTAAGTACTTAGGAGAAATTACAGAATTCACAATTTACTTTAAATACGTCAAATACATACAACTCTATCTGCAATTTACTTTGAAATGCATCCAAAAACTAGGATGATTAATTGATGGATAGAGTAATGGAAAAACGGCTAGACTGATAAAGGAACTTTAGAACCCAGATGGTGATACGTTGATGTTCACCTAAAAATGCCTTCAACTTTGCTGTATTTGAACATCTTCATAATAAAACACTGGGGAAAAGTACAAAAGGTGTCTTACAAAAACATATATTGAGATTATCATTTATGCAAGATGATTTCACACTTGTGTTTTCCATAAAAGTAAACCTTAGCAAGGTTCCTTTAGTCCCTTGAAACTCAGTATTATGTAGTTTGACAATTATTGACAGATTTACCCTACGCTACCACTAGCCATATTTTTCTTCACTGACCATTTTTATAGAACAGAAGTTAAATGAGCCCAGTCTTTTGCCCAGTCTTTTGCAATTAATTTTTATAGCATCATTGATTAAATTTCCCCCAATAATTTATTTCTCACTTCATACTCTAGAAGGTAATCCCATTAAATATAGTAGTGTAGCATTTTAAAGCAGAGTGCTTTCGGTTCCCATTGAAAGATTTACATAGGCCTGAAACAAGAGCTATTTCTGTCTAATGATCTGCATGTAAAGGCAACAGAAATATAGAAGATAGGAATAATCAATCTATAAAATGCTGTATATCTCCTCAGAGTTGTCTAAGTAATCAAAGATTTCCTGGTGTGGGTCATTGTACATCTCCATGGCTCCAGTTAAATAAACACTGAAAATATATGTTTCTCTTGAATTCAACATTACCTCTGCCCATCTGGGCTAGTAAACCATTTGGTGTGGGCCATTCAAATATATAGCTTAATTATCTAATGCGGTCAGTAAATAAAATTAAGCAATCGTCTGCAGCCTACACGGCACCAGATAGACTCTGGGAAGTCATAGAAGGCAGAGGCACAGCCCTTAACCCTGGAGAGTTTTCCATCACAGACAGTTAAAGACGCAGTGTGATAATGAAGACAGCCCTACTACAAAGGAATTGTCTGCCTTGTTCAGGGGCAGTGTGGGGATAATGAAAAAAAACACACCGAATACGATGTCATAAAAAAATATAACACACATAAAGTAGTCTAAAGCACCTCTCCCTAAGGATGCCAACTGCAAGCTACAAATGTAATTTTAGGCTGTTAATGAATTCTCTGTGGTTCAGTTATTTCAGTTTAATAGCTTAATGTTGAATTTAGAGCAAGGAAAACGGGTGTTTTCTAATCCTATGCCTACTAATCACTAATACTCACTGAACACTTTTTTAGGCACTCTTAAACATCTTTCTCCTGCTAGCAGATGAGGCCAGATACTCTTTGCCCCACATTGTGCTGATACTTGAGGCCTGGGAGTTGTTATCTGCCCAAATCTACATCACTGAAGAGTCAGGGAGAGAAATGAGAGCTGGCGAATGTATGATCCCACAGTCCATCAGCTGGAACCCTCCCGTAGCCAGCCTTGCTAAAATGCTAGAATGGCAGTATCCCAGGGACCAGATCTGAGGTCAGGGCTGGATTAAACAAAGAAGTCTGCAGTATTTCTCCAGGTATGGTTGCATATTCCAAAATGCCCCAAATAGCAAGTGACCTAGATAAGAAACAAAGAATTTTAGATTTTGAGATGTCAGGAGGACGTTAAGTATTTTGGAGAATTTTTTTTTTAATATGAATAAAAATTCTCAGGCATCTCTCTCTCTCAGTTGTGCCTGACCCTTCGCAATCCTGTGGACTGGGACCAGCCAGGCTCCTCTGTCTGTGGGATTTCCCAGCCAAGAATACCGAAATGTCTCGCCATTTCCTTCTCCAGGGGATCTTCCCCGATCAGGGATCGAACATGCATCTCCTGTCCCCTCTGCCTTGCAGGCAGATTCTTTACCTGTTGAGTCACTGGGAAAGCCCTAAAGTTCTCAGGCATACTTCCCCCATTTAATTTAGAAGCCGGGAAAGGAGCAGTGGAAACTCCAAATATCCAAAATATCATGCATACTCTCACCTCCCCCTAAATAACAGCTAACTTTTACTGGGGGTGTACTGGGTACCAGCACTGTTTGAGCCCGTAACACGTACCACTTAGTACTCGCGTCTCACAGACGAGAAACTGAGGGGTGGAGAGACTGGGGGGCTTGCCTCGGGTCATGCAGTTGGCAGAGTGGGGTTCCACCCAGCTTCTCTCTGTTCATTTCTATCCACATGCCAGGTACTAATCCATCTGGTTCTACCCTGATGCTATTTTTTCCTGAGGCCACACTCACGTCAACTCAAATACACTGCCTCTTCCCCAAAAGCAAACGTGCACTTTTTGACCTGGACCACTCCTCTGTGTGGGGCAGGATTTTCTTTAAGTAGTATGTGCTTGGGGCTTCCCTGGTGGTTCAGATAGCAAATAGCATGTGCTATACCTATTAACCAGCTCTGACTTCATTTCTGAAATTTCTTGGGAAGAACATTTCTCTCCCAGATCTGTATAACCCATGGGATTCTTCACCTTCCTTCTTCAGGCTTCAGGATGGAATGGGAGAAAGTATATATGTGTGTGTGTGTGTGTGTGCGTGTGCGCATGCGTGCACACGCACGCTCAGTCATGTCTGACTCTGCAGCCCCATGGACTATAGCCTGCCTGGCTCCTCTGTGAAATTTCCCAGTCAGGAATACTGGCGTGGGTTTCCATTTTCCATTTCCTACTCCAGAGGATCTTCCCGACTCAGGGATCAAACCCACATCTCTTGTGTCTCTTTTTGGCAGGTAGACTCTTCATCACTGAGCCACCTGGGGAGACAGATACGGATAGATTTATCTATCTACATCCATGTCTATAGCTATAGTATCTGCTCATACCTTTTCTCTTTTTCTGTAGGGAAAATCATTGTAGAGAGGTTGGCTTAGTTGCAGACATCCAAAAGTGACACATGTTTGTGATGAAACAATGTATACAGTGCTCACTTCATCTTTAACAGCAAAAATAAAAACTTCTTTCTAAAAGTTGGCATAAACAAATATATGTGTATATGCTTATGCACATAGAAATATTATGTATAGACATATAAAAATGATGTATAGGTATCTATGTCTATATACCTATGTATACATACATACATGTGTTGATAAGTAGGTAGAGAATAGATAGATAGATGGATAGATACATAGAGGCATGGGTATATTTAAGGGTGCCTAAAGGAAAGTTTCCCTAGTGGTTCAGACGGTAAGGTGTCTGCCTACAATGCGGGAGACCCAGGTTCGATCCCTGGGTCGGGAAGATCCTCTGGAGAAGGAAATGGCAGCCCACTTCAGTATTCTTGCTGGAAAATCCCATGGACAGAGGAGCGTGGTAGGCTATAGTCCTTGGGGTTACAAAGAGTCGGACACAACTGAGCGACTTCACTCACTAAAGGAAAGTTTAATGCTCAGTTTTTACAATGATTCATCCAAATTAACTGATTTTTAACCTTAGCTAGTAGTGGCGCAGAAGTGTGCTCATCGCTCGTTTCAGGTTTGGGATCCTGACTGTGCATCTTTGGCGGTCGCAGCATTGGATCCGCTCTGTGCAGCCACTGTGCTATGCGTGGTGTGAGGGCAGGCTTCTCCAAGTCATTGGTGTAAACCAACCCGCAACCTTGATGTTCTAAACTCACCATTCTGGGGCCGCTCTGACTAGCACTGCTGCATTTTGAAACTGGACTCTGATTCCCCTTAACTCCAACCCCAAAACATTATGTGCTGTCTATAGACATCTCCACATACAAAACATAATAATATGTAATTTTTAAAACATTATACCATAACGTTCTCTATATAGCTAAACCATAAAGAAAACCTTAATTTTATTTTTAATTAGTTTCTGGATAAAGAATGACAAAGCAAATAGATCTTAAAAATCTTCAGATAGGAATCACATGCAAATAATTATAATCTATAACTCAGAGATTTGTTTTTTCACAAAGTTAATAGATTACACATTCTCATTTAGCTTGTTTTATTGTGCAAAATGACACTGATGGGGTCAAAGTGTTCTTTCTACCACGTTTGACATGCCAGGCAGACGTATTAACATTTCCAATGAGAAGTGGAAAGTGTTCCAGGCTCCGAGGAAGGATGAGGGGATAGTCACCTAAGATTAGACGTTGGCTAAGTTGTCTCCCCTCCATTGACGCCTTCCAGATATTTTTCTATGCAGCACTGTGAGCTGAAGGAAAGGAAAGCAACATGTGCTCAACAACAACACTTTAAAATTTCATTTGAATGTCATTCCAAAGAAAGAAATGACAGGCTAAGGCATGGCCAAGGTGCTCTCAGGAACGGTGTTTCAGTGAGTTTCCTCTTCGCATCACAAACTGCAATATTGTGCTACACACACGCATGCACGCTTAGCCACTCAGTCACGTCCGACTCTTGCGACCCCATGGACTGTAGCCCGCCGGGCTCCTCTGTCCGTGGGATTTCCCAGGCAAATACTGGAGTGGGTTGCCATTTCTTCTTCCAGGGGATCTTCCCCACCCAGGGACTGAACTCTTGTCTCTTACGTCTCCTGCATTGGCAGGCGGGTTCTTCGCCACTAGCATCACCTGGGAAGCCCATGCCACGTGGAAAGCCTATTCTGTGCAGAAGCCTCCCCAGTTCCTGGGGCTCCCTGTGGCTCAGCTGGTAAAGAATCCGCCTGCAATGCGGGAGACCTGGGTTCCACCCCTGGATTGGGAAGATCCCCTGGAGAAGGGCAAGGCTACCCACTCCAGTATTCTGGCTTCGAGAATTCCATGGACAGGGGAGCCTGCCAGGCTACTGTCCATGGCGTCGCAAGGAGTCAGACACGACAGAGCGACTTTCACTTTCACTTTCCCCAATTCCACTCCAGACCATCCCCTTATCACAAAAAAGGTCAACAGCACGGACCCTTCCTTCCGCACCTTCAAGTGTCCTGCTGAGTGAAGCACGCCCTCCTGATCACAACATATTCTGTTTCTACCAAGGCAATATGATACACAAAATATCCTTACACTAAGAGACACCTGTTACAAAATGTATTGCATGTTGCTTTAAATATTTCTTAATCCTATTTTAGTCCCTGCTCGCAAAATTTGCCTCCAAAGACCTGTGTGTTGAAAGTGGCCTCCACCGACTCGCGCACGTATCCAGCAGTAAATGCGATCACGGCAACTGACCTGCGTCCAGAGGTGGCCTCTGACAGGGCGGCAGGACTGCTTACCCACGGGGCTTAGTGGGGAGCAGCCTCGGCACTTCTCTTCTGCTCCGGGTTCACGGGTCATTCGTCAGCGCTTTTGGAGATGCAAAGATCATAACAATGAGAGCAGAAAATCATGAACCTTTCACTTCTCCCAGACTAGAAACTCAGGCTCAGAGGGGAGAAAAGGGGATTAATGGATCTTGTTCAAAAGGTTGTCTGTGCTGAAAATGGTGTCTCAGTGACACTCCGTGGATGAGTCATAGATACTCGTCGGAACCCCCTTGCATCTAAAAAGGAAGTTTCTTCCCTTGGAAGGTGCATCCATCTTTCCCGTGCATCGATATTTCAAAAGATTCTAAGAACTGAAAGAAGAATTGAAAAAAATGATTTTTCTGAAGAGGAAAGAGAAAGATTTCCTTTTTCAGGGTCATGATGAGGATGAAATAGTGAGAAGCAGTGTCAGTTCCACTGAATGGCTACTGAACTGAGCTTTTCTTGAATTTAAATGGTCTTACGACAGGTAAATCAGCATTAAATATACGTATTTGTAGAATATATACTCCCACCAGTTCATTATCTTTCATTTAGATTTATGTAATGGAATAACAGTCAGATTTTGGGAGTTACTCATTTGATTAACTTTTAAATATATTTCCTAATTGTTAGGGGTTTCCCCTTTGGCTCAATGGGTAAAGAATCCGCCTGCAATGCAGGAGACACAGGTTCAAGCCTTGGGTTGAGAAGATCCCCTGGAGGAGGAAATGGCAACCCACTCCAGTATTCTTGCCTGGAGAATCCCATGGATAGAGGAGCCTGGCCGGCTACAGTCCAAAATGTTGCAAAGAGTCAGACACAACTGAACGACTGACCACAGTACAATAATCACCTACTACCACAACCTGTTTTGCCTGAGTATGTCATATATAAATATATATACACACACACACACACACATACACACACACATATACATATATTATTGACATTGACGTGGCTTGGATAAATTTCCACTTTCACGCTACATTTTCAAGTAAACCCCCAACTTCAATTCAGGCTGCGACCAGAATTTTATTCTATCTTTTATAGTTTCTAAAATAGGCAGTTTTATAATCAAAGCCCTGATGTACTTTAAACACTTTTTTAAAGTTGACATACACAATTGAACTCCTTAACATAAAAGCCTTTTATATAAAGACATGCATGATATATTGCTCAGCTAAAGAGGTAGGCTATATATAGCCTAGTGCCAGTTTTTATGAACTTACACGTATGCTCATAGAGGCATGAAACAATGGTAAGAATAGATACACTCCAAAATGTGAGCACCACTTACATTTGCCTTCTGAAGCAACAGGAGATTCAATGTGCTTTTTTTTTCTTTTTTATTATCCTTGGCTTTTGTTTTTCATATTCTCTTCAGAGAACGTGGGTTATTTTCCTAGAGTTGTGAGGGTTTAATACCCTTTCACTGGAAAAATGCTTAATAGAAGTCACTTATTTTTTAGTAGTTTCTTCAGCGAGCATCTGTTATTTTCCTAGAGTTGTGGGAGTTAAATAGCCTTCATTGGAAAAATGCTTAAAAGAAATGAATTATTTTTTCTCCATGTTTTCCCTTGACTGCACTCAAGGGAGGCGGGAGTGGGAATTGTATCCTCTCTTCCCTCTACCCTGCTCCGCTCTGTGCAGAATGTTAAAGAATCCGCTCAAACTCCATGACCAGCTGCGCCACGGGCAAGGGCACTGTACGGCCAGATACACCGTGCTCATCAGTGTGGGGTCATATTGGTCCTTTTTGGCCAAAATTGTCCACTGAGCTAAGGCTGCCTCCCACCCCCAAGGCCCGCTTGCTTTCTCTCTGTGTCCGCAAGCTCTGCTGTTTGGATTCCTTCATCTCTTCCTTTCTCAGGGTAAGTTGGCCTGGGTCGGCAGGGAGTGAAATGGGAAGATTCTACAACTGGGTTTGGGCTTAAATGTCCTGAAAGGGAGACTGTGGCTTTAAATCGGGCCACATTCTCCAGTCCCATGTACCAATCTGCAGATTTTGTGCAAATCCAACCAAATAATAGCATGGGATATGGAACTTTCTTTTCCACCCATTGTCTCTTATGTTTCTAATTCCCTCGGAAGCTTCCTAAACTGGAGTGGCTGGGATTTGAGATCAAGTTGGGCATTCCTCAGACTGCTAAGCAAATGCCACTGAATAACTTTGAGATTTGGCTCCAACCCGGACTGGCGTCATGAACCCTAGAATAGCCTTGTGCTGGGTTTAATGCTCTGCTGTGGCCAGCCTTGAAATCTTCAACAATTTACTACTGTTGGTGAGTCACTGAGTCGTGTCTGACTCTTTGTGACCTCATGGACTGTAGCCCACCGGGCTCCTCTGTCCATGGGATTTCTGGACCCCACAAATTTATGGAGCTGGTTCTGGCCCCAGCATCAAACCCTGAATGTTCTTTCTGGTGAAAGCAGTGAAGTCAAAATTCACAAAAAGATTCATTTTGTATACTGGGGAAAGAATGTGGGAGTCTTGCTTTCCTTCTGGATAGCCTGTTAATACAAATAATAATAAGAAGTGACTTCCTTTCCCAGAAAGCCCCATGAGTCCTTACCTCTAGCACCTAACTATAAATTTGCATTCAAGAATCATTTTCAGAGATGAAGTAAAAGCCCCAAGCTCTCTGTACTGTTATCAGAAGAAGGGAACAGAAAAGCTATAAAACAGAAAACCAAGAATAATCCATGATCTCAAGATCTCAGTTTTGTAAGTGTTTTCACTTGATCTTGACAGGGAGACTAATCTTCGGAGGCTTCTAAACTTATGTCCAGATTAAATTCACATGTAAATAGAAAAGCAAGGCTTGTGAGCTCAGCAAGGCTCAGAAAGTCTTAGCCAGTCACTGACTGGCTGGCAGGTCACCTAGTAAATCAAATTATGACATCATAGAAGGCTCCCAGTATTGATTCTTTGTCGTGCCATTTCTAAGAAAAATAACATCACTCTCGTCCTTACCCAGGACTTAGTTCAGAGATCTATGCTCACAGCCTTTCTAATTCAATGTCAAATTTCCTTTGGCATAAAGCCAGGAATAGCTGTCTTAACTGCAACGGTAACCAGAGATGAGAGTGAAATAATTTCTCTCCACAGCCAGCATCATGTTATGTTTACCTTGTCTTTTTCAATCCAGTGCCCTGCCAACAAATTTATGTTAAATGCGTGTAATATTCCAATCTGTTTAAGAGATTTGGTAGAAAATGAAAGAATCCAACGTATTATGAATCACTGTCTGTTGACAGGCTCCGGGGGACGTACTGTACTTTTCTAAATTCGTCATTTTAAAACGGCTATGGTTCTCAAATGCTAATACTCGCTGCAATTTGTTTATAGCAAATGGGTCAACGGACCATTAATTCAGTTGCAAAACTGTCATCTCTGGCTCTAGGTTTTGGACAGCTAATGAGACTTCACTAGTATCGGCTCATGCAGCCCGCTCAGCACTCGTGTTAATGATGTCCATTGACATGGTTATTGGATTCCAAATGAATGTTTACACTGGAGTGGGAAGCAAGTGGCAAATATGAAACTCAAACAGATACTCCAAGCTGAAGAAGCTGATGGTGGTTTAAACCCTCCCTTGTCTCTTCCCCCTAATGAAAGCGAAGACAACAGGGGACATGGGGATAAATGTAATGAAGAGAAACAATACTTGGGTTCTGAGAGGTTAATCCAGGCACAACAGGGTTAATCTGGGAGAGGCTGGGTGAGGATTTAGGCTAAAGACCCACACAAGACTTGTTACTTTTTGATCCAGTTGTAACCAACAGATGACTCTATTTGCAAAGAAGATTTTGGATTTTCAAACCAGCAGGGCAGAAGTTACATCCTTGATGTTTCTTGTTAAACACACTTGGGTACTTGTTTTCAGAACAAATGACGTTAAAGATCTTCATTTTCTTTTCAAGCAACAAGACAAAAGGGACATAACAATACAGATACTTAAGAGGACACAGAATTTGACCCCAGACCAAAAAGTCCCTGAAAGCCAGATTGTATATTTAACAGATGCACAAGAATGTTGTTTTGTAAAACAGAGAAGAAATGCTATGTTATTTTCATGTTCTGAAGGTTAAAAAATGAAATTTACATGTGATGAATAATCCCTTTAAGGAAGTGCTTTTAAACATTTATTTTAAACCTGCATATTCTGCATTATAATCTCTGACATAAAAGGTCAGATAAATGAGATTACATTCAAAGAGTTAATTTTTAGAATATGGCTCTGCTTTACAGCTATTTGCAAAGTCTCTGCTTCATGAAGCTAAATGCAAAAACTTTCAAAATGTGAGTGAATTAAACTCAGTTAGGATTTTCCCAAGGTAAGAAATCAACTGTAACCTGATGGGGGAAAGTTATATTAAAATCAAATTAATGTTTCCAAGAACAATCTATGTTCTCTGAATCCAATAGCATCTCTTCAAACGTATCATTAAACACTTACATAAAAAGCCCCATGAATTAGATCTGAGACTATATCACATAAACTGTCAACAATTACATGATGTGTCACATTTGAAAGAATGGGAAAATCTAAAAATAAAATAATGAAGACAAAATAAAAATAACATCACTGCCATTTGGATAGACAGGTATCAAAGCCCTTGGGTAGGTCTCCGAGGGGCGCATGTTCAATCTGAATTGTTCTAAATCCAACAAAATGTTTTCATGCTATCTTTCATATTTCTAACATAAAGATTTTATCTTAATGGCCATTCTCATCTCCCTTTCCCAAGTTGAAATGTTAATGTGGAAAAATATTTTATGGAATATGAAAATAATCTTATAAAAGATTAAATTCACCTGCAATTTTAAAAGTATATCTTAACCCAAAGAAGTAATATAACAAGTATAAGCGTCAATGCTTTTTGAAAATCTATTACTGTTACTTCTAATGTTTAATAAAATAAGTTTGAAAGCAAGTAAGACATCTTTATGTCCAAAGGATATATAACTTTTTTGACATACTTACAAGTGCACTAGAAATGTAAATACGTTTACAGAAGAGTCCTTTCAAATCACGTTAGTGAGATCATACTTGATCTTGTTGTTTAAACTACTTTCATTTCATAGGGTATGATCTTTTCAAATACAAACTCTCAGTGAATAATTCTCTGACTTGTTTGTGAAAGTGAAGTCGCTCAGTCGTGTCCGACTCTGCGACCCCGTGGACTGCAGCCCTCCAGGCTCCTCTGTCCGTGGGATTCTCCAGGCAAGAACACTGCAGTGGGTAGCTGTTCTCTTCTCCAGGGGATCTTCCCAACCCAGGGATCGAACCCAGGTCTCCCCTATTGCAGGCAGACTCCTTACCATCTGAGCCACCAGGGGAGCCCAAGAATACGAGTGGGGAGCCTTCTCCAGGGGGTCTCTCTGACCCAAGAATTGAACCGGGGTCTTCTGCATCGCAGGCGGATTCTTTACCAGCTGAACTACCAGGGAAGCTTTCCAGAATGCGTAAGTTCAAAGAAAAATTAAAGAAGGCTGTAAGATGATATTAATTCAAAATGAACAGGTATATGTCAAAGTACTATGGAAATAACGAACCAGGAACAATCTCTGAAACAAATGTAGGCAGTCAGGGCCCCGTAATTCCCGTTGCTACACTGTAGGGCAGCGGGCCCTTCTGCAAGCTCAGCCTGCTGTGTTTCCGGTATCTGGATTATTGCCTCAGCATTCTGACGTGCTAGGGCATTTTACTGATTTTAGAATTTCTGTCCACATGCTTGACGGCCAAGCCTTGATGTTAACACCCAGGGGAATTCTTCCCATGCCCATCACCCAGAGTGTAGGCTCTACACTCCTAAACCATCTCTTAAATCAGGACTGGCCCAAGTCCCATTTCCCTTCTGATACAAATTCTATTACAGACATCCTCCTTCAGAAGTCCACTCTCGTAATTTTCTCTCCTTCCCAGAATTTCTCCGCACTGGTCTGCAGCTGAGATTCAAGGATGCCGCAGAACTCAGCCTACCAGGGGGTGACAGAGATGCTTAGAAAGAGCATCAGTGCTCATTTTAAGCTGCAAAACTTCGGTTTTTGGTCTTCTAACTAAACAGTAGTCCTGGATCTCTGCTACAAGATCAGCCAGAAGTTTTCCTAAGAACATAAGACACCGGTGGAGCAGGAAAAAGGGGGTTCACTCTCATCTGACAAAGGGTGACCTCCCAAATACTGGAGCAGTGCTTCCCCCTCCCCAGGAGTGTACCCCAAAACACCAGCCAGCCACGGGATTTGGACAAACTCTATGAAAAGTTTTGTTCCTCATCATGTAGTAATACTTCTCTTTTAAAATCATACCTTCTTTTACAAGTGACGATATTAAAGAAGAAAAAAATAATTAGGTGCTTGTCCCCCAGTGTTTACATTCTGTTCAAGCCTGAGACTCTTGTCAAAGTCCGAAAGCCAGGAGGCTAATGGGAATGGAAAGAGGAAACAAACGGCAGCAAAACACTTCCAACCAGCGAGTTTCCCGTCCTCGGGAAAACTGAAGCCCTGGAGGAGCAGGGAGGTTGCTGATCAGAGTGTCCTCTAACCCAGGGGCCAGAGCGCTGGCTTCCGGCTCCTCCACTGATGGGACTGGCATTAACTGGGATGTTTATTTGCACCTAGGGGTTAGGTTACTAGAGGAGAGGTCTGCGGCGGGAGTATTTAGTGTCATTTTGCGTATTTGTCAATGAATGAGAAAACACAAAACATCGCCCAGGGTTAAGACTTGGGAATTCTGTGATATTTGAGGGCTCGGATTATGTTTTTGAAGGGGAAGCTAGAGGAAACGAATTTTTTTAAGGTATTATTAAAACCCCAGTCTAATCGTGAGAAAGTATCAGAGGAGCTCTAATAGAGGGACAACCTCATGCTCAGTCGTGTCTGACTCTTTGCAACCCCGTGTTCTGTAGCCCGCCAGTCTCCTCTGTCCGTGGGATTCTCCAGGAAAGAATACTGGAGCAGGTTGCCATTTCCTTCTGCAGGGGATCTTCCCAACCCAGGGACTGATAAGTGTCTCCTGGATCTCCTACACTGCAGGCGGATTCTTCACCACTGCACCACCTGGGAAAAGCTACCAAGTTGCTAACCTGTCCTCCTCAGAACCGTCAAGGCATCGAGACAAAGTCCAAACCACTGTCATAAAAGGAGATGAGGTGCTGACAGCCGAATATCACGTGTGTCCTGAGTGAGACTCTAGAACAGAAAGGGACACCAGGTGAAAACTAAGGAATGGCAAATTCACTCTAGACTTGCAATAAGAGTCAGTATCTATTCATCATTGTAACAAAAGATGTTAATAACAGGAGAAAATGGTCAAGGGCATGTGGAAATTTGCTGAGCGCTCTTCTTCATTTTTTCATGTATCTAAGATTTTCTAAAATATAAAGTCTATTAAACTAAAAAAATCAGAAAACAATTATTGAGGCTAAAGTTTGTTACTAAAACTTGAGATACACAACTTTGATTGATATAAGATAATCATTCCTCTTTTAAAATAGTTTTCTTTCTATAGAATAGGAAAAACTGTAATGATCCATATTCACATCCTTCTCCTTTTAAATCTATCAGTTCAGTTCAGTCGCTCAGTCGTGTCTGACTCTTTGAGACCCCATGAACCGCAGCACGCCAGGCTTCCCTGTCTTTTACCAGTTCCCGGAGTCCACCCAAACCGATGGCCATCGAGTCAGTGATGCCATCCAATCATCACATCCTCTGTCATCCCCTTCTCCCTCTACCCCCAATCCCTCCCAGAATCAGGGTCTTTTCCAACGAGTCAACTCTTCACATCAGGTGGCCAAAGTACTGGAGTTTCAGCTTCAACATCAGTCCTTCCAATGAACACCCAGGACTGATCTCCTTTAGGATGCACTGGCTGGATCTCCTTGCAGTCCAAGGGACTCTCAAGAGTCTTCTCCAACACCACAGTTCAAAAGCATCAATTCTTTGGCGCTCAGCTTTCTTTATGGTCCAACACTCACATCCACACATGACCACTGGAAAAACCATAGCCTTGACCAGACAGACCTTTGTTGGCAAAGTAATGTCTCTGCTTTTTAATATGCTGTCTAGGTTGGTCATAATGTTCCTTCCAAGGAGTGAGCGTCTTTTAATTTCATGGCTGCAATCACCATCTGCAGTGATTTTGGAGCCGAGAAAAATAAAGTCAGCCACTGTTTCCACTGTTTCCACATCTATTTGCCACGAAGTGATGGGACTAGATGCCATGATCTTAGTTTTCTGAATGTTGAGCTTTCAGCCAACTTTTTCACTCTCCTCTTTCCTCTTTTAAATCTATGGTTTTAACTAATTTTATTGAATTTTTCCCTTTAATCAAAAGATAATGATTGCTCATTGTAGAAAATTAAGATGATACAGGTAAAAAGAGGAAAATCAAAATCACATGAACACATACAACAACTGATGTAGATCTAGTAATGGAAGATACTTTGTAAATTTGTTAAGTTCCTAAGACTGTAGCCCGCCAAGCTCTTCTGTCCATGGGATTCTCCAGGCAAGAATACTGGAGTGGGTTGCCATGCCCTCCTCCAGGGGATCTTCCCAACCCAGGTATCAAACCCAGGTCTCCTGTATTGTGGGCAGATTTTTTACCATCTGAGCCACCAAGAAAATAGTTCATAAGTTTAAACACCTGAATTTATTTTGAAAGTATACAAAAAAATATACAATACAGATATAACTATTGCACTGCATTTCATTATATGATGGACCATTCTTATTTGGCCAGAGCATTATTTTGGGACGTTAACATTCTTTACATTTTTTAAATGTTATTTAAAAAACCTCACTCAGCCAATCATTCTTCCTCTTAATTGTTGCATGTGTCTGTAATTATTTCCTTAGCATAAATATCTAGAAATGGGGTTTCTGATTCCAAAGTGATGAATAATTTTAAGATGTTTGCTAGTGTTGTCAAACCACTCTCCAAAGTTTGTGCCACTATACATGCCAATAAGCCAATTTGTAGAGTGCCTGGAATGCCTTTACATTCATTAGCTCAGCCATTCAGCAAAAATACTTAAACCCTTCTACGTCCATGTTCTTGTCATAAAATGCTCTCTTATAAAAAGTATAAAATAGATTACAAGAGGATTTTCAAGAGATTCTTACATTTTAAAACTATGGCTTTCTGCACCACAAAATGTTTTCTTCCTTTGTTGTTCTATTGTGAAATATACATTAACATTGTTAAATACAAAATAAATTAACTAATGAAGGGAGAAATAGACATCTAGGTGCCTAGGTATACTTTTCCGTTTTCCCAAATCATAGTGTTTCCATTAAAATCAGTTTATAAGCACGTCTACTTTGATACTTTGACAAACTGGAAGTTGACCAGTCGAACTCAGTGCATTTTATATAAAACAATAAATATGATTATTGCAGAAGGCATGCCGTGTAGCCACAGAATGAAGCGGGTAGGAATGTTGCTCTATTTTCTGTACCTGAGGCAGCTCAGGCCCTCCTTGAACCCTGGTTGGGCGGTGTGATGGGAAATGCAGTCTCAGCCACGGCTCGGTCATCCCCAGAGTCTGTAAGCAGTTGCTCCGATTCCACGTGGTGGGTTCAGCCAGGTTCCTCCAGGGCTCATGGTCCCAGGGTGGGAGGGACAGAATACCCCTCCCCTTCTAAACCAGAGCCCTGCACAGCAGGGTCAGGCTCCTGCCTGGGATTTTCCTTCTGCAAAAGGAGACTCATCCTCAAAGCGAGGCAGTTTCTGCTTTCCAACCCCAGACAGAAACTTCCTCAGGCAAAATCTCCCTAAACCACAGCCACCTGCTGAAATCCAAAGGAGGGCAAAACATCCAGGGAAGAAAAGACACAAAATAACATTTCAACCATTTTGATTGTTTTTTAAAGGATCCTGCCTAGTGTAGATGGTGTTATCAGCTATTCTGGACTGACCAATCTCCCAGGATATAGCTGGTTAAGGGGAAAAAATAGTCTTTGTGCAATTTAAAATAAAAAAAAAAAAAAGTTGCCTGGGCTTGGAGTCAGAGTTCCTGGCTTTCTAGGAGGATCTTCAGATTCCACTATGGCTGGGCTGTTGTTGCTGTTATGCATTTGCTCAGTTGTGTCTGTGTCTGACTCTTTGCGACCCCATGAATCGCAGCACTCCAGGCCTCCCTGTCCTTCACCATCTCCCGCAGTTTGCTCAAACTCATGTGCATCGAGTTGGTGA